GTATGAGGACGCTCAAGGTCGCTCAGCGAGCTATGGAGAGGGCTATGCTCGGGGTTTCCCTGCGTGATAAACTTAGAAATGAGGATATCCGCAGTAGAACCAGAGTGACCGACATAGCCCATCAGATTAGTAAGCTGAAGTGGCAATGGAACCATATAGCTCGAAGAATCAATAACCAATGGAGAAAAAAGGTTCTCGAGTGACAGCCTCGTACCGATGGGCGAAATGCAGAGCAACACCGCACTAGATAGAGTGACAACCTGGTAAGACATGAAGGAAGTCGATGGATGCAAGTGGTTCAGGACCTTGTTTTGTGTCATTCCTTGGGGAAGCCCTACGTTCAGCAGTGGACTTGTGAAGGGCTGTGATGAATTAAAAAACACTAATAATCACTTTTACCAATACTGATCTTGTGCAGACTATGATGATTTATTTATCGACAAAAATATCGACATATTTTTCGCCCTACGTTGCTTACACATGTAGACAGCGATGCGATACCAGTATATCAACACGTGTACAATTTGATAGTATGCGTAAATGCAATGAACACAAACACAAATGCTGTAGTGTGCGTGTATAGTGAAACAATTCAATTAAGAATTTGTAGTGAAGTATACAGTTGTGTGTTTTCCTCGCCTCCCCCCTGAAAGTGAGAAACTTTTTGTTAAAGAATTAACGCGTATAGTTGAATAAACAAAGAGTGCGGCAAAATATTCTGCAAAAGATACACATACACACACGCGCGCGCACACACACACACACTCACACACACACACGCGCGCGCACGCAAGCACGCACGCACGAACGCACGCACGCACGCAAGCACGCACGCAAGCACACACACACACACACACACCACGCTTGCACGCACGCACACGACTACTATTCACGCGACATTTTTTTCTCATTACTTGTTTTTCATTTACTGCATGTTAGTTAATTATTAACTGAATCCCAATTATTCTTAAGTCGCCAGAATCTATTGTAATTGTACCACTAATAGGGGAAGACACTTGTTTCTAAGATACAGTTATTGCAACTAGTTTAGCAGCCAGGGTTCCATTTAATTGTTAAAAGATTTGAGGCATATAAATAATTAATTATTATTATTATTATTAAAAGGATGTACCACAGACTAACTCACAGAGCTATTCGAAAGAAAACAAGCTTCCTATTGCAGAACCATCACACATTGAACTGTCTCCTAAAGCCTCTGAAGAGGAATTAGAAATACAGAGGGTTCTGCATTGACCGATATATCCTGATATTCTTCAAAACGTGAGATGCATCCCGATAGAAGTAAAGAAGAGGAATAATAGAGGATGCAAGACACAAAACGCAGAAGTACTGACCAGCACTCTTGTAAAGTTTAAAACATTCATAAAACTCTTAATTTATACTTGTAAAAAATAAAAATAGTGGCGCGGTCTTCCTACGGTTTAGTTCCGGAGTAGCTAAGCTTTTTCAGCTTAACATACAAGACCCCCCCCCAACAAGCTTTCGGCTGACCTGAACTGCCTCCTGGCGGCTCGGGCCGAGCCTACATAACACATCCATTAATCTGCCTTAGTTAGGCACTTTTCTAAGCGGCTTTTCGCCGCTTGCGCCCTCCTTTCTGCCAAGGAGGGTCGCGTTCGTATACGGCTTAGAGATCTCTAGTCAGATCGTTAAGCCAATTCCCAAAAGGTTGAGTTTAGTGGGTAAAAGTCTCCACATAACCACGCAGCCGGCTGCGTGGTATGCTATGAGCATTCTCAACCTCCCTCCCCCGCTTTCCGGAGGGTTGCCCATATTTGCTTCGGGCGTAAAAAAAAAAAAAAAAACATACAAGTAGCGCCGGCAGGCGGCAGGAATGCACAATGCTTATCATGATAATATTATGCTTAAGATTCTATACTATAGAATATATTTTAACTTCTTATTAAATTAAAATCTATTTTTATAATGAGAAATTAGATTACAAAAGTGATTAATTGACATATTATCGTTTTAAATTACTACAAAAGAAAAAGAATCGAACAAATCATTAAATTTACACTTAAATATTAATATCTCTAATACAGCTCTTTAAAATTATAATAAGAGAAAGTTCTAATAAGTAACTAAACTCATATTTCGTTTTCGTAGATTAGAATCATATTTTCGTTACAGACTTTGTTACTAACTTTCGTTACGTAGTTTTGAAATAAGAATTGAAGCTAATATAAGTAATTAATTCACTTTCTTGGTATTAACGCTATCAGTCTTTACACTTAGCTTCAGATCACAAATGAGAAACAATTAAGATTAAATGTTTAAATTCACTTGTCATCGCTAACACTTAGTTTTAGATCACAAATAAGAAACAATCGAGATTAAATGTTTAAATTCACTTGTCGTCGCTAACAAATATATTAACTCTGGCCTCTCAATAAATTTATGAAAATGTAATGTACGTACACAAAAATAAAAGTAGTTTTGCAAAAATAAGTGATATTAATTCTATCACTTATTTTTGCAAAGTAAAGTTGCTAGTAGTACCAGTTACTCGACTCCACCGAGTCAGTAATTCATTCTTGGGACGGTGTGTACGCTTTTAGAACAAAATCTCAGAAAATATACAAAATTTGACATACACAAAGTTTAAAAATGTTATTAAACTAAGTTTGTATAAAAAGGGTTATTAAGTAATTTATGGATGGTAATAACCCCCGGGAAGGGTGATCGCTACCAAGCGTTTTCTAATTTGGCTTGTGTTGTTACTTGTAACGTATATAATTGTAAGTTATTATTTGAAAAAAATAGTCCCGCTGAGTTTCTTGCTGGTTCTTCCCAGGACGGAGGTTTTTTTTTACGAAATCTGTTTCAGTTTCATGCTGTGGCCGATAAATATCTACAGTAACTTATATATTATACATCTATTATCTATTTAGTATCAATGTGCTAGTTTTTGAAGTACATTAAGAAAAATAAATAAATAGTCAATTTTTTTACTTAAATTAGCATTGTAAATGTTTTAAGATATTTTCGAGGGAAAACTTTCCATGATGTTTATTTTTATTAGATAGATGCTATTTTTACCTTTTAAATAACATTTTTTTTACATCTGTAGTACCTTTCTGTCCAGAGAAATCTGCATCTTTTGGCAGAGACATCTACAATAATAAAAAAAATGGCGGCCATTCCGACAGGAGGAAAGACCCCCATATATAGGTGTTTTCGTCGATGAAATTAGGTATATTTTGTATGCTTAAATTATCGCTAGGTCGTGACCAGACACACTGTATAATGCCAAACTTCTTTATATAAAAGTAGTCTCTATATATAAGTTTTTATGGGTTAAAGTGCTGTGGGTGGGTGTGACCTCATGAGACCGCTAGCCGCTATAAGGCCGCTAGGGGCTTAAGAGGTTAAGCAAGTCTGAGAGTGAGATTCCATCCACCAAGGTCGACACTTTCAACGGGCGATCGGGCGAGATTGCTCTGATTCGAAGGGGCAGCCTGTGGCCGCACCACGCCGGGTTATAAGTAAAATGTGTGGTAAAAATAACGACATTAAAAATTTATAGAGTGCACCTTTATAATTTATAGAATAAGTAAGCAAACGAGCACACAGACCACCTGATGTTAAGTAGTTGCTATGGCCCTTAGACACGTACATTACTAGTACCTTGACCACGAATCAAAATGCAGATACGTTGACACATGAGAACTAAAATGGAATGCCTTGTGTCCAGTAAAGAGGTCCCCGGTTCTCCACACTCACCATACGAAACACAGAAGCATTAAGCTGCTATTTTACGCTGGTATTCAGAGAGAGTATGGTTTTTCCTCGGTCGAGCTGACCTCTTCGTGCAAAACTATACTACTAATATAGCTGCTGCATGGCTCTACCACGGTGGAATTGACTGGTTTATATCCTGCTTGCCTCCCTAGACATCCCTATCGTTCACGAAGCGGACGTTCCTTCCTTTGGTCCGGTGTAAGCCGAGTGGAACTAATGGGTTTTGGTATCTGGGTGGAGGCAACGCTTCTTCCACGCTTAGAGATCGCATCCCACCTATGAGTCTGTCATCTTCTACTAATGGACTTAGCGTGGACCTTCTCATTTGATTCAGTGCTATAATAATAATATGTCTAATGTCTCTATAGACATCTACATCAATCCTCGATAAAGTTTTGTCAGCCCTGAGGACTAAGATGGAATGCCTCGTTTCCATTGAAAAGCCTCTCCGGATCTCTACATTCACCATACGAAACAGCAGCATGTAGCTGTTATTTTACGCTGGTATTCTGTGAGAGCGTGGTCCTTCCCCGGTCGAGCTGACTCATTCGTGTTACAACCATCAAATGGCTGCAGCATGGCTCTACCACGTTCATAAAAATTATTTTATATAAGAGGGACAAACGAGCATGCGGTTTACCTGATCGTAAACACCGCAGTCCATAAACAACTGTAAACACCAGGGGAATAGCAGATGCCTTGTCGGCCTTTTAAAAAGAGTAAACTCTTTCCTTGAAGGCCCCTAAGCCGTATCGGTCCAGAAAAATCGCTGGTGGTAGTCGATTTCACAAGGAAGAACAAAAGACCGCCAATATTCAACATCGTATGTATGGCGTCGTGAGTTTAGTCGAGATGGCTATTTTGAATAGAATAAGGGTGACGGTGACGATAAAGGTGAAGAATAAACGAGCACACACTCCAACTGATGGTAAGGTGATGCTGTGGTCCATAGACATCTACATTAATCCTCGACTAAGAATCAAAACGCAGATGTGTTGTCACCCCTGAGGACTTAGATGGAATGCCTCGTTGCTAGTAAAAAGGATCTCAAGATCTCTACACTCACTTATAAGGTTTTAAAATAAAAGACAGTATTAAATAATATACTTTAACTTTTATTTCATTAAAAATCTTAAATAACAATACATACTTACAAATCATATAAAAGGTGGGTTAAGTCTTCTCACACAGTACACCTGACGAAATACAATTTTTTTTACATAGGATCTTTTCCATTATGACTTTGTCTTCGATATGGGCTTCTTCACTAATCCTGGAAAATTAAGCAATTTGATTACAATTTTACTGAAATTGACTACCGGCAAGCAATAGACATATTCCCTTGTAGCGGCGGTGTTAAAATATCCACGACCCCATAATATCGTCCTGAACAAGCCACAGATCAGGATAGTAACAAGTGCTATCACAGGACATGGCTCTCTTAACAAACATTTGTTTACCATAGGTGTTACTGATAGCCCCCTGTGCAGAGCATGCACGGCGGCTCACGTGTTACTGACATATCCAGAAGTTGCTTCATACAGGGCTAAACATCTGAGCGCGCCGGGATCGCTCCCCGAAATTGCTTGCAACATCAATGGACTGCTGAGCTTCTTCGGGGAGATATCATGGCTCGAATAATCACATTATTCCTGCCCACACGCAAAATACGCGTTTAGACGTGGAGTTGAGGAAAACAGCCCGTCGTAAACTAAAACTAAACTAAAATATCGTCCTATGGGTGTAGTAAGAAGCGACAGAGATAAAAACCAGGAGAAGGACAGCATTTAAGCTTACCGCGAGTGGTTAAGGGGAGTATTATTAATGTTTATAGCATTGTTAATTATCTTTAAAAAAAAAAGCAAAAAAAAAAAGGACAGCAATGTTTCCATAATAACAACTAAAAATAAAAGTACTGTAGTGAGAAAGCAGTTATACAATTATATCTGCTTTCTCACTACAGTACTTTTTACAACGGTAATACACATCTTTTTTTATATATAGAAGAGGGGGGCAAACGAGCATGCGGTTCACCTGATGGTAAGTGGATGCTGTGACCGACAGAAATCTACTTCTATACTTGATTAGCAATGAAAATGCAGACGTGTTGTCACACCCGAGGACTGAGAATGCTTCGTTTACAGTAAAATGTGTCTCCGGTTCTCTACACTCATCAAACGAGATACGTTAAAGCATGGCGAATATGATGTAATCATACAACTTTTGGTCGGAAGACGCTGATAACCACATAAAACTTGCCAGATCCCACAATAACGGGGAAGAAAACTTATAACACCCTCAGGACTCCATGGGGTAATGCTATATTATATTATATATTACAGAGTGTGTTATAAAAAAAATAAGAACTAACTTGGTATATTCGTGTTAACTATTCTTGTACTGCTCCGACTGCTCCAGATGCTGCTGTTTAGAGATGACATTGTGTTGAATTTTGTTAGGTTTTTTCCTGGAACATAATATTTTTGTTTGTTTAATTTAAATAACACGTAAGTCGGTATTAACTTAGAACCCAGGTACACTCGCTTGCATATTATAAAATCGAGTCGAGCTACATCATGTCAAAATGTATATGTGGCCGTGGAAGTAAAAGGGGAGATCTCCCGCCAGGCAAGGTGATCTGCCCGGGGAGCGGCCAACGCCTCGTGTGATAGTTCGGAATTATTCTATAAATACTGTTTTTGATTCGGAACTTTGATAGCGCGATTTAGGCTTCGATGTGTTTCTCGGTTGTGGCGCGACGACAGCGCCGCCACATATACATCTATACATATAAATAAAATTAAAGTGTCTGTCAACACCTGTCTATTCATGGAGGTTAGAGAACAGGAGAACGATCGCTACGTGCTAAAGCAAAGCCCCCCTGTCCCTGAATTTTGTATTATTTATATCCGTGCTGCCGTCGGTAAATAGTGTCTGCGAAATAATTTTTTAATTTCTGACAAAAAGAAACATTAAAAACTGATGAAATATTATAAAAAAATAATCAATAATAATTAATAATTTATGTGTAATAATTTATATTTAACAACTTAGCGATCGCAGCGCCTCTTATTTTGTCCATATTTCTGGGACACTATTTTATACAGCGATCGTCCTTCTGTACTCTAACCTCCATGTGCCTATTATTGAGCTTAGAGTTATAAGCATGCCATTAACATGAATATTTTTTTTTTAAATATTCGTCTGTCTGTGCAGGCTAATCCTTGAATTGGCTGAACCGATCGTGATGGACTTCACTAACAGATAGATGCAATGGTGGTGATCAATACTATATTTTATCCGAAGAGTTCTTTTTTGAATAAAACTAAATTTACGGATTCTATCGCGTTTATTTAATTGATTTTACTTATTTTTAATTCCCGACGTTTCGGTTGCTTTACAGCACCCATGGTCACGGGGGGAGTTCTTTTTTTTGAAATATCGAAAATTGATATAACCTGGTTAGAAATCTAGTAAAATAAATGATATTAAACTTCCTGACTGTCTAACCATTCTCCGTTCTTTATTCAATTAAAGTTGAGGATTACACCCCAAAAGAATACTATAATACACAATAGAATGGCTGTCAACCTTATTTTTTTACGAGGATAGGCGTCGCCGGGAGCACACATACAAGCAATTACGTCGTATTATCAGTTTAATCACTACTACAAACCCGATTCGCTGTGTTGACAGACGGATTTTAATACATCATCATCATCACAGCCCTTCACAAGTCCACTGCTGAAAATAAGCCTCCCCCAAGTAATGCCACAAAGCACGGTCCTGAGCCACCTGCATCCATCGACTTCCTGCATATCTTACCAGGTCGTCACTCCATCTGGTGGGGGGTCGCCCTATACTACGCCTACCGGTACGAGGCTGCCACTCGAGAACCTTTCTTCCCCATCGGTTATCGGTTCTTCGAGCTATATGGCCGGCCCATTGCCACTTCAGCTTACTAATCCGTTGGGCTATGTCGGTCACTCTGGTTTTACTGCGGATATCCTCATTTCTGAGTCTATCACGCAGAGAAACTCCGAGCATAGCCCTCTTCATAGCTCGCTGAGCGACCTTGAGCGTCCTCATACGGCCAGCAGTGAAGGACCACGTCTCTGATCCGTAAGTCATCACTGGCAACACGCACTGGTTGTACACTTTAGTTTTCAGAGATTGAGGTATACCTGACGAGAAGATGTGTCGTAATTTCCCAAACGCTGCCCAGCCGAGTTGAATCCGTCGATTGACCTCTCGGTCGAAGTTGGACTTACCTAGTCGGACTATTTGTCCCAGGTAAACGTACTCGTCAACAACTTCGAGCATAGTGCTCCCAACAACTACCGGCATAGGTGTGACATGAACATTAAACATGATCTTTGTTTTGTCCATGTTAATCTTAAGACCTATCCGTTGGGAGGCACTATTGAGGTCATTGAGCATAGTGCTTAAGTCCTTCAGCGATTCTGCCATAAAGACTATATCGTCGGCAAATTGAAGGTGAGTGATGTACTCGCCGTTGATGTTAATACCGTATCCTTTCTAGTGCAGTAGCTTGAAAACGTCTTCCAAAGCAGCGGTGAAGAGTTTCGGGGATATAACGTCACCCTGTCTTACACCTCTCGGCAGTTGGATAGGTTTCGAGCTCTGGTTCTGTACTCGGATAGCCATCGTAGCCCTACTGTACAAACACTTCAGCACTTCGATATACCGACAGTCAACTTGGCACCGCTAAGGGGACTGCAGCACCGCCCAAATTTCGACGGAATCAAAGGCTTTCTCATAGTCCACATACGCCAGGCAAAGTGGCAAATTGTACTCTTCAGTCTTCTGTACAATCTGCCGCAGGGTATGTATGTGGTCTATGGTACTGAAGCCTTTTCGGAAACCGGCTTGTTCGGGAGGCTGGAAGTCGTCGAGTCTGCGTGCGAGACGATTCGTAATGACTCTCGAAAACAGCAAGTAGACGCGGCTCAGAAGGGAAATCGGTCTGTAGTTCTTCAAGAGAGCGTTGTCGCCTTTCTTAAAGAACAAGACCACCGCACTTCTGCTCCACGCCTCTGGAGTAGTGCCACCATGGAGGACGAAATTGAAGAGCTTCTGAAGGACTTCAAGTACCGGTGTTCCACCCGCTTTCAGAAGCTCCGCTGTAATTCCATCCTCGCCTGGGGCCCTGTCGTTTTTAAGGTGCTGGAGAGCCATTCTAATCTCGCTGAGACTGACGTCCGGGATATCATCGGAATAGTGTCGGATAAGACTTGCTCTTGGATCGTTACTCACACTTGTGTGTGGCTCCAACGATGATGTGTACAGCTGCAACGATGATTTTAATACATATTTATTTGTAAATAGGGTGCAATTTGGCAATTTTGAAATAATTTGCATGCGAAATTTGGAAACGATTGTAACGTCAAAACACATCTCGTGTTTACATTTATATGTGTGAATTGACGTGTTAGTGACATTTTATTAGCTACGCGGGCTCCGCCCACTCCCCCGTTCTATTACGTATGTATTATAGTATTCTATGTCCCAAACAACTCTGGTGGCAGTTAGACTGTACATTTTGTAAATCGCCTCATAGGTGCCTTAAGTCACGTCATGGGTATAACTATATATAACAAGATTATGAATGATTCGTTCGTTTGAGCTGGTACACTTAATGAAAGTATACTTAGTATTAATAGTTCATTCATATGTTTTTGAATGTTCCGGTACAACCAATCACTAAAAAATTTGTAATGTGACATGCAATAAACAAATTGAATTTGAATTTGAACAATTGACAGAACATTTTTAGCTCATGGTTGGTGTAAATTGTGAATGAAACGAAAACCGACCCAATCCCGAATGATCTGAATGCATTGTTTTTAGTGTAGGGTACTGGAGCCCGATATTATCTATTTGAAAGATCGATCTGAATGTACCGGTACGCGTGACGCGTACTAGAATGATTGGGTCATGAGAAATTAATGATTGATACATGTCCACTGCCTTGCTTTTGCATAAATTTAAAGCGCATCCAAGACATTTGTGGCGGCACTGTCATCGCGCCACAAGAGAAACGCACTGAATTCTAAATCGTGCTATCAAAGTTGCGAAGCTATATCGCTATACATAGAACTCCAAATTAACACACTGAGCGTTGGCTCTCACTGTGAAGAACACCTTGCATGCAGTACCGTCATTACCATAGGGGCACACGGGGCCCGAGCCCAGGGCCCAGTGTGTATCGTCACAGGGGCCCCCGTGATGTTAGGGCCATCGGACTTATTCGCTTATAGCTAGTATATAGCCTGGATTTTTTTTAATTTTCGGCAACTTTTAATATTTAATTTTATAACAAATAATGTTACGATCCTTATTTTTAGACAATTGAAGCCTAAATTTTAATGTAATATATAAAAAGAATACACCTATTGATGTTGTTATAGTATATGTTCCTTTTTTTTAAAGAAAGTCTAGTAAAGAAATATTAAAGTTTAAATTTTCCTAAGAAATTATCGTCCCCGCTATGAAATCTTTCGGCTTTATACACGGTAGAGCCACGCTGCAGTTATATTAGTAGTATAGTTGTAGCACGAATGGGTCGGCTCTCGATCGGGGGAAGGACCACACTCTCACTGAATACCAGCGTGAAATAGTAACTTAACGCTGCTGTGTTTCGTATGGTGAGTGTAAAGACCGGACCCTTTATACTGGAAACGAGGCATTCCATCTTAGTCCTCACGGCTGACAACGCATCTGCATTTTGATTCGTAATCGACGATAAATGTATATGTCTATGGACCACAGCAACCACTTACCATCAGGTGGACTGTGTGCTCATTTGTTACCATATACTATTAAAAATAACCAGTCAAATATTGTAGCTCCTTGTAAAGTGGCGCCGTCCTGGTGGCGTAGATCGGTCATTAATGACACATTATTTGATTTTTACCAATTAACTATAATAAAATATAAGATCATAGCAGAAAAATGTTTTTGTCATTCACTTTTTTTTAATCTCCAAAAGGGTCCCAAATTCTTGTGTGCCCAAGAGTCCAGGTATGGCCTAAGACGGCGTTGCTTGCGTTTTTTTTATAGGATAGGGTGACAAACGAGCACACAGTCCACCTGATGGTAAGTGATTGCTGTGACCCATAGACATCTACATCTATCTTCGATTACGAATCAAAATGCAGTTGCGTTGTCACCCGTGAGGACTAAGATGGAATGCCTCATTTCCAGTAAAAAAGGGTCTCCGGTTCTATACACTCACCATACGAAACACAGCAGCATTAAGCTACTATTTGACGCTGGTATTCTGTGAGTTTTTAGTTTTCCCTCATGTATCTTTAATTTTTAATCTTATTGGTCTCATATATTAATCACAAAATCATTTGATGGCATAATTAACTTGTTGCCTTCACAAATATTTTAAGGAACACACATCACAGGAATTTTAAGGGGACTGAGGGGTTAAACTTTTCTACTTATTTATTTATTTACTTTATAAGGTTAAATTGTAACCATTGTGAGAAAAACAATGTAGTTGTGAGTTTGTTGCCGCTTTTTCTCACAGCCTCCTTGCAGTAAGCACTTGTTAAAGTAATGGCGTAGCGTTTGACTTAAAAAAAGTATTTTGTAAAAGCCAATTTAGAACAAAAGTATAAGATTTTGACGATTCCCGCGAGACGAGAAGGGATATAAATTCTCTACTCTGCATTAAATTAAATTTATACTCATTTGACGGATCCGTGGCGCAGTAGAATAGCAATGAGTTGCAGCTCTTACAGTACGTTTACACCCATAGAATACTGTAATACACAATAGAATGGCTGTCAACCTCATTTTGTACGAGGCTCGGCGACGCCGAGAGCACACATACAAGCAATTACGTCATATTATCACTACTACAAACCCGATTCGCTGTGTTGACAGACTGAGTAAATTTACACATTTTATTTTAAAAAATCGTTTAAATTTAATACATATTTATTTATAAATAAGGTGCAATTTGGCAATTTCTAAATAATTTGCATGCGAAATTGGGAAACGATTGTAACGTCAAAACACATCTGTTTGACATTTATATGTGTGAATTGACATGTTAGTGATATTTTAATGGCTACACGAGCTCCACCCACTCCCCCGTTCTATTATGTATGTATTATAGTATTCTATGTTTATACCAAAACCGATTTTGTCGGCCGATGGCGGACAAAACTACCCGGACAAGTAACTCGGACGTGTATGTGCTTACACTGCAACTGTGTACTACTTGTATTTGTATTGAGATCTCCCATTTTCCTTCTACGGCCACAGATTAAATTAAACTATAAATACACTCAATTTGCACTGTAGACGCCGACAGTCGGGCGAGAAATCCCCACAAGTTCGGACTCGACGGTCGATCGGCCGTTTCCGTGCGTTATAGGACGCTGACAAATATTTTTTAAATTTATGAAACGATTGCGTCTTGACCTTTCGGTGATGTCACACTAAATGACAAATATCGGAGATATATCCTATAGGACAAAAGTTAGAGACGACAATTTTGCTGCTGATGTCCGGTCTATTACTACTACAATGCAATACAATTAAATGTCTTTTGTCCCTGGTTTAAATCTCGCACGGAAAAAGTATTTGTATGGCCTACAAAATTATATTTCTGGGTCTGGATGTTTGTTTGCGATATAGTAGAAAATGCTAGTGGAGGTAACCAAATAGTGGCCCATTTCAAGAGTGTGGTGCTTAGAATGATGAAGATACTTACTGGGACTGATCCTCAAAGGATTCTTCTTCAGTATATTCTCGGCGCTCGACGACTTCTTGGTGGTTTGCGGTATTTTCGACGACGTCTGCAAATTAGGATTACGTTTATCAAATTTGGGAGCTTTGATGAACGTGCTATTCATTGATTTTGTAATAGAAGCTTTTGGTTTATTTTGATGGGTTTTTAAACCTTTTGCATTTATTGTGTTTCCAGATAATGTATGATGTTTTGTGGTAGCTTCCTTGCCACCATTGATTGGTTGGTTTTCAATGTTCTTAGGTTTCTCCACAACGGTTTCTTTTAAGGATTTCGTTTTATTAAACATCTGAACTTTATCATTTGCGATATTTTTAACAGGTTTGGATACAATTTTGTCCTTGGCCACATTTTTTTCTTTTTTATTATCATCCTTACCTTGAAGCGTATTTTTATTTTTAGGTTTATCGGTCTTATGTTTTACTTCGGTTTGTTCTAAAACTTGTTTACCTTTGGTACTTGTATGTACATTTTCTTTGACGGTTTTCATATTTAACTTATCCGCTAATTTTGTTGATTGCACGGTGTTGCCAGATCTTTCTCTGTTAGTATCGCCTTTTTTAGGAATGTTACATTCATCAGAAATTAATTTCTTACCTTTTTCCGGTTTTTTATTTCCTTGGTTAAAGTTCTTAGGTTTGCCCTCTTTTTCCTTATTTTGATTTTGAGTGTTAGCAGGTCTTTTTGATTCTATTTCTTTCTGACTACGTTTAGCGATATTATTATTTTCCCTCTCCATTTTATTAGGATTTTTGACATTTTCGTTACCAGTTTCTTTTAACTCTCTGTCTTTAGTTAAATTATCAGACTTTTTGTTTTTAAGCTCCATTTCTTTAATATCATTATTGACCTTTGTATTTTCTGTTTCATTTGCAGTTCTCTTGTGACTAACTATATTCTTAGGTTCTAATACTTTCTCAGGGATATTACTCTTTGCTTTCTTTCCTTCAATGTTATCACCAATTTCACTGTTCACTCTTTTCCCTGTTTTGCTTGTTTTGTGATTTTCCGCTACATTTTCTTTTCCTTTAGGCTTCTTGGGGAGTGCTTTTGGCGGTGCCATCACTTCACGATCCTCTTTCTTTTTCTTTGGTACTGGCATTTCCGGTTCTTTGTCTAAGCTCTTGCGTCTTTTCTCTATTCTTACTGTCTCCGACTCGGATTCTGTGCTTTCTTGTACACTGTGATTCTGCCCTTGGGCTTCTAAGCATGTGCTGATGATTTTAGCCAACAATAACGTCCTCTCATCCGTGTCAAGCTTTGGATTGGACAGTTGTTTGTGTGCTTGAGCTACTGTTTTTATATACGATTCATCTAAAAAGGAAATAAAAACACATTAACAAATTAAAATACTTGTTTGTTTATTCATACTTTTTTGTAGAACTGAAGTATATATATATATATGACTTTTTTTACAGTCTGAAAAAAAAAATGGTGTAACATGTGAACGGAGTAGAACTCTTATGACACTGATATTTTACAAAAAATAAAAACAAATATTTTTTATTAAAAGTTTGAAATTAAAACGGTAGACCCAAGCTCTCACAAAATACCAGCTTAAAATAACAGCTTAAGGCCGCTATGTTTCGTATGATGACTGTGGACAAGCGAAGACCACTTTTTACTGGAAAGGAGGCATCCATATTGGTCCTCAAGGGTTATAATGCGTCTGCATTGTGATTTTTAATCGAGGATAGATGTAGATGTCAATCAGCCATAGCATCCACTCCCATCAGGTGGACTGTGTGCTGGTTTATTATCCATATTCAATAAAAAAAAAACCTATATCCATATGAAAATATCGGTGATACTAATACACTATTCAGATCATTATTCAGTTATTCAGATATCTTATGCCAATAAGATCTATTGTAGTCGCTGCTATGGTTATAGTTCACTGCTAAGCCCTAAATTTTCAATGAATTTAAGGAGTTGTTTAGCTGTACGCAATATCACTTCTTCTGAGCTAAGTATGTCATTTTTCAGACAAGTATTACGTTTGCACATTAAGGACCCACAATCAGGGTATGCAGAGGTGTTTTTTCCTACCTATACCGATACCGATGCGTTTATTAAATTAAAAAGAATATAAAATAAGACATAAATTAAATAGGGTTATTATAATACTAAATCTGATTAAAATATGGTTGTAACGGATAGAAAATTATGGTTATTAGAATTGCAACGAATATTCGCCTGTTATTTTCACTATTATTTCGTGAACGCACTACGCGGCAAACGTCCCGATACCATCCACACCATCTGGATGCTTGGCGGTCCACCACTGTACGTTTCACAAGGAATTTCCTTCCGCGTACGACCTCTCTGTGGGATAGTTTACCACCGGCGATTTTTCCGGACCGATACGACCTAGGAACCTTCAAGAAAAGAGCTTACTCCTTTCTAAAGGGCCGGCAACGCACCTGCTATTCCCCTGGTGTTGCGGTTGATCATGGGCGGCGGTAGTCACTTAACATCAGGTGAACCGCATGCTCGTTTGCCCCCTCTTCTATAAAAAAAACGAAAGGATGGCTAAGATGGAAGATCTCCCAACTAAAGGAAAGCTTTTATATCTATGTGTCATTTTATGAAGATATAAAATTTTTACATACTTATGTACTCCAAGTCGAATTTCATGCGGTGATGAAATGAGGCGATGGGTGACCAGTTGTTCTCCAAGATCCAAGTAATTTCGAGAATATTCGAACATTTTAACTGGTAACCGCCTTCTGGCTGGAAACACATACATACATAATCATATTTCTTAAGCTTTTATATGCTGTAGAAAATCACTTTTTGGTGACACTACTGTTTTTTCTTTGTTTTGTTTTTTAGACGCGATAGTCCCAAAAAGACATTAACACTACATTTACCGTGTAATGGCTTTGTAAGTATATAAGTAAAGTAAAGTAAAGTTACAGCCTATATACGACCCACAGCTGGGCACAGGCCTCCCGCTCATTTCTGAGAGGGTTTTAGGGCAAGGAAGTGTCCGCCGCGCTGCAACAATGCGTGTTGGCAAACTTCACATATCTTCTAAATATTTTTATTTTGTTATTTCTCTGAGCACACGCGAGAAAATCGGGTTCGATCCCCGCCGGCACAAATTAAATTGTTAATTGCAATTTTAAGTGTTGATTTACCACGTGCTCGGCGGTGAAGGAAAACATCGCGTAAGAATCTACTACCCCATATCATCCCGTGGATGTCGTAAGAGGTAACAGATGAAAGTGGTAGAGCCTAATTAGGCTCTACCACTTTTACCACTTTCTTCTGTCCAATATAACTATATTAGTAGTATAGCTGTAGCACGAATGGGTCGGCTAGACCGGGCTAAAACCACGCTCTCACAGAATACCAGCGTCAAATAGTAGCTTAATGCTGCTGTGTTTCGTATGGTGAGTGTAGAGAACCGGAGAGCCTTTTTTACTGGAAACGAGGCATTCCATCTTAGTCCTCACGGGTGACAACGCATCTGCATTTTGATTCATAATCCAGAATAGATGTAGATGTCTATGGGCCACAGCAACCACTTACCATCAGGTGGACTGTGTGCTCGTTTGTCACCCTATCCTATAAAAAAAAAGATAACTGAAACAGGAGATGGGCAGCAGCATCTTCCTGATAACAACTCAAAAAAATTACGTTTGCTAACCTGCCTACCCAGCGTGGCAACTGTGGCAAAATTCTTACTAAAAGTCAATCTATAGAGGAGGAATCCTGAAGTTCATCACTGGACTTTTATAGGATGTAACGAATTATTTTTAAATCACAAAAAAAAGTGTGTGCATGCTATTGCAAGTACATCGAGTATAGAAAGCTGTAAACCACAATTTAAAAAATTTAAGTTATTGACATATCCCGCAATGTATATTAATGAAGTTGTGACATTTGTAAAAACTAATCCTGAAATATTTAATGATTACGTAATAACAAACAATCTACGTAAAAATAAAATTCATACAATTTCATCAAAGACAGTTTTTACTTAGAAAAAACGTTTTCGGTATGTTATCTAAAATCCATAATAAGGTTCCATCTATGTTTCATGAAATGGAAAATATTCATAAATTTAAAAAAGAATTTAAAACATTTCTAATTGAGAAATGCTACACTCAATCGATGAATATTTAAGTGACGCATAAGTAGGCATATTATAATGATATATTCATTTTATTTCATTAGGTATTCATTAGGTATAAAAATATAATTCAGTTGACATTCGATTAAACTATATATTATTGTAAATATCCCATTCTAATTAATTATTACACCATTGTTGTATTTTCTTATATAATTATAATATAAATAATAAAATGAAATAATTGTGGAAATGTAATATATTTAATTGTATCTAACTGTAATATTTGTATACCTAAGGGTTGAATGCAGCGAACATATTTATATAACATATATACAATATGTAACGTAATTAACGCACACCCTCAGACACCCCAATTAGTATATTATGTTATAATCATAATACATACACTGAAGTTTTAGTTAAACATTTTTATGCACTGATTATATATCAAATTAGTTATACTAATTACGGAAGAATGTTGTGGTCACAGTACAAATCCACGAACGCAAAGACTTTAACGTGCTTGAAATAAAGTTCATTTTTCTTTATTTTTATTTAATGACAGAATTAGTAATAATACAAATAAAACTGCACTCTTAAAAGTCTTATTTCCTTAAGTTACGGTCCATTTCAGTTTGTTTTGACTGTACAGATTTAGTGTGACTGTAATTTACGTAGTTTTAATTATTTTTGGGATAAAAAATTACCTATATTAAAAATGATAGGAATGGATTACGATACTGAACAAACTACTTCCAGGATGTGCGTTAATTATGTTAAATGTTGTATATAAGATCTATTCTGTCTCATTACCTGTATTCACAAATAAATAAATTTGAATTTGAATGGAACCCCCGCCCCCCCCCCCACCACCACCACCACCACATTAGGTTTTACACTTGTGTTTTAGAGACGTGTTACATAAAAAAGGAGACAATCGTTTTTAGACCCAATAGAAATTGTAACATAACTTAATATTTTTACACGTAAAAAAAGATAACAATTTACTATAATTAACGGCCTAAATTTTTTATGAAAATCTAACCAGAATCATTCATTCTGAAAAAAAAAGAGTTGTGGATATTTATGTTCTGGCTAATTTAATATGAAAAAAATGCGTGTAACGTAGAACGAACTACTAAAATGATTTTCCATCAATCATAAAGTATCTCTAAATACCGAATGTATCTAACGCTTTGTTTTATACTATTAATTATTGACCAGTGCACTATTTTAATTTATAATAACGGTATAAAACTACTAGACAATCATCCCTTTTACTTTGTTTTTAGGTAATCAATTCGTTACCGAGCTATTTAACAAAACGTAAATTATTGATTATAACTACTTTTACGGATTTTATCGCGATTTATTTATTTTATTTTTAAGAAAAATTCATTCTGCATAGATCGGACCAAAGACAATAATTAAAAAGCTAAAGGTACTCCGGGTTAACTTTGATATCGGAACGTCAGTCACCTCAGTCCCCCGTGACCATGGGTGTTGAAAGCACCCGAAACGTCGGGTATTAAAAATCAAATAAATAAAACGCGATAAAATCCGTAAAAGTAGTTTTAATCAATGTATAGTGTGCGCGTAAATATAAGAAATCATTATGTAAAACGTAATTTATTCATTATTTTTCATTAGAGTGTCCACTACCCCTTAATATCCTGTAAGTTTTGTAACAGGCGACGGACAGAAACCTTTTTGTCCCCCGGTCCAACGTAGTAGGTTTTTTTAAAAGGCCGAAAATACGTAACAGGGATATTTCTATGCTGTTACAGTTGTTCATGGGCGGCGACAGTCACTTCCTGTCCCATGTGAGCCGCATGCTCGTTGCCTGCTATTTTTTTTAAAAACCTGGAAAAAAGTAGCGCATTGACTCAAGTGGAGTCTCGAAATAAAACAGAAGATGAACGACAGCATCTCCCATGACGACCCAGAATTAAAAAAAGCTGTACTTGCCCACTCTGCTGCCGAGTGTGACAACTGTAGTAAATATCTCCCAATAAAATAATCTCTAGGGGATATATGTTTCCAGCGGTGGACTTTTGATTGACTGTAATGAATGAATGTATGAATGAATAAGTGAACGAATGATAAATACATAAACACTCACGTCTGGCACCGAGAGGGCTAGGCAGAGATTAAAAACTTCCACTTTGCACGATCCTGACTCACCTCTCTCACCTCCTTCACATCCATATATCTACGCATACATGCTCGTTGGTTAAGGGTACTCCTAATTTGGTCCATTTTCAATGTATCGCCAATTTGATCGATAAACTTTCGCCTAGGGCGTTCCTTCCGACTCTTCCATTCACTTCTGCAACATAAATTTGCTTTGTCACTCTTTCCTCATTCATTCTTTCTACATAACCAAACCACCGAAGCATTCCTTTCTTAATCCTGGTCACAACATCATCTTGCATACCACACTCTTCTTTTATCACACAATTTCTCACCCCGTCACTCAGATTCAGCCCTAACATACTCCTTAGCGACCGCATTTCTACTGCATTTATTCTTCTTTCATGCTTTTTCTGCCACACCCAACTTTCACTACCATACATGAATCAATGAATGAATATTTTACTCACAATTGGCTTCATGTACAAGGAATTCCCATATTTCTCGGCGAGCCGCGCAAGGGTCGTACGACGTGATCGATGGGCGACCGCATAACTTTTAATAACCTGTAAGTGAATATGAACAAAATTTTAAAAATATGACAAGCAATTTGGTAGTTTTATACTAGGTAGTTAGACTTTTCTTTTCTGTCTAGAACTTTGACCGGTACCACTTCGGTATCACAATCCGTCTTTCCTATTGCTGGTCTAAAGAGTATAGAAAGTATAATTTTTTTTTAAATAAAGTTACACTAAGATTAAATTGAAATTTAAATAAAAAGTTAAAGTTACTGCCTATATACGTCCCACTGCTGAGCAACAGGCCTCCCCTTATTTCTGAGAGGGTTTTAGGGCATGGAAGTGTCCACTGCGCTTGCGCGTGTTTGCGAACTTCACATGTCTTCGAAATATTTTTTTGAAATAATTTACAATGAGCGCTAACTATCTGAGCTACCACGGCTCTTAGTGTTGGCAGTGGAGGCAGTTTACATACATAAATTTTATAGGGACAAACATAAAGACATCGAACAATTATTAGTAGGCCATACAAATGAGAACTAGTTCAGTGCGAAATTCGTACCCGCGACCCCCCAGCGTCGCAACTCATTTCCAAGCCACCAACGTACGGATCCGTCCATTAATGACTGTGACGCATTCCACCTTAGTCCTCAGAGGCCAACACATCTCTAGCTTTTTTTTTGACGTTAATAACCCATGAGCTATAGTGGCCACTTACCATTAGGTGGAACGTAAGATATTTTGACACATATTTTATTAATAAAAGCTTAACTCTGACGGTATATTTTATTAATAAAAGGTTCAACTTAACTCTGACGGTATATTTTATTAATAAAAGGTTCAACTTAACTCTGACGGTATATTTTATTAGAATTCAGCATTAAGTAAATTTTCTTTTTTTCTGTTGACAGCCCATAAAGTTTCACTGTTGGTTATACGCATCTCCTGTTACAAAGATTTGTTTGACTGTCACAATAGGCAGGCACAGTTACGATCGCAGTGACAGATCTTCTGTCCAGCTAACCGTCGCTGATCTGGGTATTGTACGCCTTTAGTAAACGAGATTCTCATATCGCCATCTATCGTAAGTCAGGATCACGAAAGGAATGCTTCGGTGGTTTGGACACATAAAGAATCAATGAGGAAAAAAATTGGATAGACAAAATTAAGAATACCCTTAACATATAGATAAAGCCGTGGTAGCTCAGATGGTTAGCGCTCGTAGTAAATTTCACAGTACGCGAGCGAACGGAGTTCGATCCCAGCCGGCACCAATTAAATTGTTAATTGCAATTTTAAGTACTGATTTACCACGTGCGGTGAAGGACAACATCGTGAGGAAACCTGCATGTCTGAGAAATAAGAAAAATAAATATTTCGAAGACATGTGAAATTCGCGCGGCGAACACTTCCTTGCCCTAAAAACCCTCTCAGAAATGAGCGGCAGGCCTGTGCCCAGGAGTGAGACGTATATAGGCTGTAACTTTAACATATAAGCATGTATGCGTAGATATCCATTTATCTTTTTTATTGTCTTTGCCATTACGTAGTTCAAATACGTCGGTACATCCCGATGAGGAGGTGGAGGAAATGTATGAGGATATTTCTAGAGCCATGCATTTCTCCAAAACCCACTATACGATGTTGATGGGAGACTTCAACGCAAAGCTAGGCGGCACAAGAAAGAATGGGCCAGCAGCTGGCCGACTTCATAGAGAAAGAAGGGCTCTTTATGATGAACTCTCTTCCAGAAGCGGCCCCACAGAAAGTGGACCTGGTCGAGCCCGACGGTTTGACAAAAAATGAGATTGACTTCATTATGACGACCAGACGCCAACTGTTTAGTGACGTCTCAGTGATCGTAAGGATGAAAACTGGCAGCGATCACCGAATGGTTAGATGCACACTAAACCTAAACATTAAGTTGGAGGTCTCGTCTAATGAAGTCAACGCTCCATCCCCCTCGAGTTCTAATCCAGAGTCCCGAAACCTTTAAGCTCGAGTTACAAAACCGTTTTCAATGCTTATAAGATTGCAATGCAGTGGACGATATGAACGACAAGCTCGTAGAAACTATCCATGCAGTCGGAGTAAAGTTCTGCAAGACCCACCGCAGAACACAAAAACTCTCTGATCACACTCTTAATCTCATGGCTGTTAGACAGGAGATGAAGCTGAAGTCGTCAGTAGATTTGATAGAATACAGGCAACTGAACAGACAGATCTCCAAATGCATGCGGCGAGACTTAAGCAACTTTAATAATGCTCGTATTGAAGAAGCGATCGAGCGGATCCAGGGTTCCAAAGTCTTTGCCTGAGATCTGTCTGCCAGAAAGAGCCAATTGTCAAAGCTGAAGACTGAGTGTCTGAAGTCCCCGGGTGAGGATGGAATTACAGCGGAGCTTCTGAAAGCGGGTGGAACACCGGTACTTAAAATCCTTCAGAAGCTCTTCAATTCCTTCCTCCATTTTTTTATAGGAGAGGGGGTAAACGAGCATACGGCTCACCTGATGGTAAGTGATTACCGCCGCCCATGAGCAACTGCAACACCAGGGAAGTTGCCAGCCTTTTTAAAAGGAGTTTGGCAGACTCGACGACTTCGAGTCTCCCTAACAAGCCGGTTTCTGAAACAGCTTCAGTACCATAGACCACATACAAATCCTGCGGCAGATTGTACAGAAGACCGAAGAGTACAATCTGCCACTTTGCTTGGCGTATGTGGACTATGAGAAAGCCTTTGATTCGGGCGGTGCTACAGTCGCTTCAGCGATGCCAAGTTGACTGTCGGTACATCGAAGAGCTGAAGTGTTTGTATAGTAAGGCTACGATGGCTATCCAAGTACAGAACCAGAGTACGAAACCTATACAACTGCAGAGAGGTGTAAGACAGGGTGATGTTATATCTCCGAAACTCTTCACCGCTGCATTGGAAGACATTTTCAAGCTACTGGACTGGAAAGGATACAGTATTAACATCAATGGCGAGTACATCACTCACCTTCGATTTGCCGACGATATAGTCCTTATGTTAGAAACACTGGAGTGCCTAAGTACTATGCTCAATGACCTCAATAAGATCTCCCAATGGATAGGACTTAAGATGAACATGGACAAAACAAAGATCGAGTTTTATGTCCATATCACACCTATGCCGGTAGTTCTTGGGAGCACTAAGTTCGAAGGTGTTGAGGAGTATGCTTACCTGGGAAAAATAGTCCGACTAGGTAAGTCCAACTTCGACCGAGAAGTCAATCGACGAATTCAACTCGGCTGGGCAGTGTTCAGGAAATTACGGCACATCTTCTCGTCAGCTATACCCCAAAACCTGAACACTAGATTGTACAACCAGTGCGTATTGCCAGTGATGACTTACGGATCTGAGACATGGTCCTTCACTGCTGACCGTATGAGGACGCTCAAGGTTGCTCAGCGAGCTATGGAGAGGGCTATGCTCGGGGTTTCCCTGCGTGATAAACTTAGAAATGAGTATATCCGCAGTAGAACCAGAGTGACCGATATAGCCCATCGGATTAGTAAGCTGAAGTGGCAATGGAGCCATATAGCTCGAAGAATCGATAACCGATAGGGAAAAAAGATTTTCGAGTGGCAGCCTCGTACCGATGGGCGAAATGCAGAGCAACACCACACTAGATAGAGTGACGACCCATTAAGACATACAGGAAGTCGATGGATGCAAGTGGCTCAGGACCTTGCTTTGTGTCATTCCTTGGGGAAGCCCTATGTTCAGCAGTGGACTTGTGAAGGACTGTGATGAATTAAAAAAACACTGATAATCACTTTTACCAATACTGGACTTATGCAGACTATGATGATTTGTTTATCGATAAAAATATCGACATATTCTTCGCCCTACATTGCTTACACATGTAGACAGCGATGTGATACCAGTGTATCGACACGTGTACAATTGAATGCAATGAACACAAACACAAATGCTGTAGTGTGCGTGTATAGTGAAGCAATTCAAATAAGCGTTTGCAGTGAAGTATACAGTTGTGTGTTTTCCTCGCCTCCCCCTGAAAGTGAGAAACTTTTTTGTTAAAGAATTAACGCGTATAGTTGAATACTCAAAGAGTGCTGCACTCAAAATATTCTGCAAAAGATACACATACACACACGCACGCAAGCACGCACGCACGCACGAACGCACGCACGCACGCAAGCACGCAAGCACACACACATACACACCACGCTTGCACGCACGCACACGACTACTATCCACGCGACATTTTTTTCTCATTGTTTTTCATTTACTGCATGTTAGTTAATTATTAACTGAACCCCAATTATTCTTAAGTCGCCAGAATCTATTGTAATTGTACCACTAATAGGGGAAGACACTTGTTTCTAAGATACAGTTATTGCAACTAGTTTAGCAGCCAGGGTTCCATTTAATTGTTAAAAGATTTGAGGCAAATAAATAATTAATTATTATTATTAAAAGGATGTACTACAGACTAACTCACAGAGCTATTCGAAAGAAAACAAGCTTCCTATTGCAGAACCATCACGCATTGAACTGTCTCCTAAAGCCTCTGAAGAGGAATTAGAAAAAGTGCATTAGCCGATATATCCTGATATTCTTCAAAACATAAGATGAATCCCGATAGAAGTAAAGAAGAGGAATAATAGAGGATGCAAGACACAAAACGCAGAAGTACTGACCAGCACTCTTGTAAAGTTGGAGCAGTAAATGAAGCCTTATGTAGCCTCTGCTAAGAAGAAAGTGGCTCTTGAACTAGAAACCACGCCTGGACCATCCAACATTGACGGAAAAAAGTCCTAACTAATAAAAGGGTCCATAAACAACCAGAGCAGGACTACTTCTGCACTGTGCGTAAAGAAAATTATGTTTTGCCTACATTGACTGACTGGAAGACTAGATCCAGGGCGACACATGCCGAGATTCGCCGGGGCAGCGCGGCGGACACTTCCTTGCTCTAAAACCCTCTCAGATATGAGAGGAGGCCTGTGCCCAGCAGTGGGACGTATATAGTCTGTAACTTTAACTTAACTTTAATCTCTATTGAATACAAAATGATTCTATTCTATTCTTATGGCATCTGATCATAACCATCTCGTTTCGTAAAATAAAGCAACGGGAAGCGTCAAAAGTGAATGAAAATCTAATAACCAAACCTTACAAGCGTGGCGATTACAGCTAAATTACCCTTCAACGGAAAAGTTCCATGTTCCAGCTGGTCCTTCTGGGTAACGATACGCGCGCCATCTTTTTTTTAATAGAATGAGGGTGACAAATGAGCACACAGTCCACCTGAAGGTAAGCGGATGCTGTGGCACATTTATCCTCGATCAAGAATCAAAACGCAGATACGTTGTCACCCCTGAGGACTAGGATGGAATACCTCGTTTTCAGTAAAATAGGGTCCCCGGATCTCTACACTCACCATACAAAACACAGCACTATTATTCTGTTATTTTACGCTGGTATTCTGTGAGAGGGTGGTCCCTCCCCGGTCGAGCCGACCCATTCGTGCTACGACCATAATATAGCTGCAGCGTGGCTCTACCACATACAATGTTCCTCTTATATGGGTGTATGATCATATTTTTGTGATGATTGCTTTGATAAAATAATGATCATTAGTTTCTAACCGTTTTGCCCGAACAAATTCGTTTTGCCCGCCTAGGTTACGCAAAACGGATAATAGCATGATTCCAAAATATAAATATTATTTACAGTGTGAATAATTTATAGTAGATTTTTTTTAAGTTTTAGTAACTCAAGTTCCTTATTACCGAAAGACCGATTAAGGTAGTTGATTTTCTATGCCTTTTTTTATTTATTTTTTATATTAGTAATCTTATTAATTAACATTACTAATATTCCTTTTAACCACTCCTAGTAAACTTGAAATACTTGTGTTAGCAGTGGTTCACGACAGTAGTCAAATGGCGGATTCGAACCCACGACCTTTTGTGTTCGCGATCCGCGCCCTGCCATCAGGCTACTGTCGCTTCCTGCCTTTTTTAATCTCAAACTTAACCTAGTTTTATAGCTAGCTCATCCTAAGCTATATTTTATCGAAAAAAGTTAGAAGTATTGTGAAATAGGATTAACAAAATAAATGGTCATCGATGACTATTTAAAAAAAAATTGTGAAATAAATTACCTCAAAGGCGTCACTTGGTCTGGTCAAATCAACCAATACCGACTGCTTCAGCTCGCTCTCATGCGCCTTTTTGACCGCTGCTACCTTAAGGCACCGAAAGGACGGAGGTCCGAATTTCCGATTCTGAAATTTATTTTTTATTTTATTGAAACAATCAATGTACAATTTGTACATTGACCAATATAAATAAACATGTTTCGGATATGGTAAGTTACATAAAAAGCTTATACAGATTTACATTGGTTTTACAAAAAAATTATATTTTTTACAGCCTTAGCAATGTAGTTACCTTTATCTGCGTAGATATTGTGTGGACTGTTTATTGATATTACTGTATACTATTTTGTGTATTACTGTATATTAGTAGCGGTGTAAGAATTACAGATGGGCCGAATATTTGTTTCCTATTCGGTATTCGGCGTATTCTGCATATTCGGCAGCTTTACCAAATATTCGTATTCGGCCGAATATTTCGTTAAATCACCGAACATTCGTTAAAGTGCTACTCAAAGCGTCAACTGTATTGAAATGTACGAATTGAGTAACGCCATGTCTTTCATAATTGTACTATTGAAAGCATATTTTATTTATGAGTTAAATCTACTTGTATAGCGTTATGTTTTTGAGGCACTGTAGATTTATTTCCAATTATACCAAATAGAAAGCTTAATAAAATGTTTTTTGAATCAAACAAAGAAACATTAAATTACATTAGTACATTTCACTTTACTTTGGTCGTCAGTTTCTCAAAAACAGATCTCCAGAGTTTCTTCTTATTTATTTTTTTAATTCTTTATTCTTACATTGCCAGATTTGGAATTCCAGCTCTTTAAAATTATAATAAGAGAAAGTTCTAATAAGTAACTAAACTCATATTTCGTTTCCAACATTCTAATTAAGACTTTGTTACTAACTTTCGTTACGTAGTTTTGAAATAAGAATTGAAGCTAATATAAGTAATTAATTCACTTTCTTGGTATTAACGCTATCAGTCTTTACACTTAGCTTTAGATCACAAATAAGAAACAATCGAGATTAAATGTTTAAATTCACTTGTCGTCGTTAACATTCTCCCCCACGGTGCGTAGCACTTCATCTTCTGGAGGCGACGATTCCGCTGGCACCAGCACGATGACACGTCGAGTTGGACGGCGAAGTATTCCACCTGATGTCCGCACGTCCAGCACCCTGGTTCTTCCGTCTGGTCCGGGATAGGTCTTGATAACTTCTCCGCGAGGCCATGAGTTTCGTGGTAACGTAGCGTCCACTATCAGCACAATGTCTCCTTCTCTTGGGTATCTGGTTTCTCCACTCTCGAGTTTCCTTGGCATTAGGAGAGGTAAATATTATTTAATCCATCTTTTCCAGAAGTGTCTTTGAGTGGTTCTCCAGTTTGCTTTTCCGATGAGCTCTGTGTCACTGAACTCTCCCGGCGCCATCGCTCCGCATGATCTTCCCAGTAGAAATTGGTTCGGTGTTAGGCTTTCTTCGTCTTCTGGGTCCATGCTGATCGGGATGAGGGGTCTCGATGTGTTCAACCTCGGTCATTAGTGTATGTAGTACTTCTTCGGGTGGGCTTCTCTCGTTGAGGACTACTGCTAGCGCCGTCTTGACTGTTCGTACAAGTCTCTCCCAGGCACTCCCATATTCGGAGCTCCCGGGGGATAAACTTCCATTTGATGCCTTTTTCTTGTGCGGCCTCTTCTAGTTCCCTTTTGGCTCCGACGAAGTTGGTTCCGTTGTCGCTGAATATAGTTTTCGGGGTCCCTCTTCTGGCTGCCATTCGTCGGAGAGACATGATCATTGAGCTAGTGCTGAGAGTACGTACTAGCTCTAGATGTACTGCTCTGGTAGTGAGGCAAGTGAATAAAGCTCCCTTCTCAGTTCTTCTTCCGATGGTGACTTGCATTGGCCCGAAGTAGTCTACGGCTGTGCAGGAGAACGGAAACTGATGATGCTGCAGTCTCTCGCTCGGTAGGTCTCCCGTCGGGGGTATGTCTGGTGAACTCTTCTTTGTCCTGCACCATTTACAGCTGTATGCGACCGCCTTTAGAGTCGCTCTTAGGCCCAGGATCCAGAACTTTTGACGAACCTCGTTCATTACTGTAGCAATGTTTCCGTGAAGGAATTTCTTATGATAGTATTGTATTATTAGACGGGTTATCATTCTTCTTTCGTTTTGGTCGTGGAATTTGATTGTTCTACTTCTTAATTTGATAATTCCATCGTCGCCAACGTAAACGTCTATTTTCTTGAGTCGACTTGAGTTTTCTAGAGGATTTTCTGCCTTCAATTTTCTTATGTCTGACGCAAAACTGTCGTTCTGGCTTATCTTCATTAATAATTCTTCGGCCTTCTTTAAGTGTTCTTCTTCTAGGGGTAGATATAGTCGCTTATTTTCGTTTTTGTTGGTCAACGGGTTTGAGGCGTGTGCTTCTTTCTTCTGGGTTTTCTGTTGTGGTTTCCACGGCTCATCCTTCTGGCGCATGGCAGTGGTGGTCGCTTTACGGCTCTTCTTTAAAAGGTAGTGTGCAAAGGCAACCACTCTGGCTGTAGTGCGCAGCAGTCGCTCCCAGCTCGAGAACCTTTCCGGATTTAAAAGGATGTCTTCTGCTGCCATCGTTGCCAACACCTTCTGTTTGTGCTTTTCTTCTGGCATAATACTCTCTGGTTTGAAGTCGTGAAACGGCCATTCTTCTTCTGGTTGACGGAGAAATGACGGGCCTTTGAACCATCTGGCGTTGTGGTCGAATTCGATTGGGGTTCCCCTCGTGGCGTCGTCTGCTAGGTTCTCCTTAGTTGGTACCCATCTCCAGTCTTCTGGTTTGGACTTCTCTTCAATCTCTGCAAGTCGATTGGCCACGAAAGTTTTGAATTTTCTTGGTTCCGACTTTATCCACTGCAGTACTGTGCTGGAGTCGGTCCAGTAAGTCTTTTTTGATATTTCGAGCTCTCACTCCTCTTCAATTGTAGCAAATAGTCTGCTTCCGAGTAAAGCCGCTTGTAGCTCTAACCTCGGAATTGATACTGGTTTCGTCGGTGTTACCCTTGCTTTGCCGGCGATCATGAAGACATGGATTTTTCGTCCGCGCTCAACTATTCTCCAGTAGACTACTGTTGCATAGGCTTCTTCACTCTAACTATCCTTTTCTGCCTTTGGGTGAGACGCATCTTGGGATCTTCAGACTTGTTAATGTTGATACTTCCTCTAAGTATTTCATCCAGGCTTCTTTTTGTTGTTCGTTAATTGGTTCATCCCAGTCTATTTTCTTTGGCCAAATGTCTTGAATTCGTTTCTTTCCTTGTATTAGAACCGGTGTTGCAAAACCCATTGGATCGTAGGTGGACATCACTGCGCTTGTGACTTCTCCCTTCGACGGAGTTCTTCTGCCAGCTTGCAGGTCCTTAGGCGTGTTGCGTAGCCCAACGTTGAATGCTAATGCATCTTCTTTCACCCTCCACCTTAGTCCCAGAGTCTTCTCTTCCTTGGTCAGTTGTAAAGAGTTTTTTTATTGGTGTCTTCTACTTCTGATATTACCCCCGAATTGTTACTGGTTCAACCCTTTAGATGAAAGTTTGATCTTGCGTGAATGTCCTTCACTTCATTGGATATCTTCTTTGCTTCAGTTGTAGACGCGAAGCTCTGCAGATAGTAATGGTTTCTCTTAATTGCTTTCACTGCTTCGGGATGAGTGTTCTTCAATTCCTCTGCGTTCTTATTCATTACGTATATCGCTGTTGCCGGTGATGACGCTGCCCCAAAGATGATTGAAGACATTCTATACTCTTCAGGCTTGCCGGTTCTTCGGTTTCCGCGCCACAGGAACCTGAGACTGTCTCGGTCGTCCTCTCTAACTTTGACTCGGAGGAACATATCTTGTATGTCGGCCATGACGGCCACTGGTCCCGCTCTGAAGCGCAACAGTACTCCAAATAGTGATTGTAACAGGTCTGGGCCCGAGAGCAAGGCGTCGTGTAGGCTCTTCCCTTCGTACTTGGCAGCTGCGTCGAACACTATTCTCAGCTTCTTCTTAACTAGGTGCACAACAGCGAAGTGGGGTAAGTAGAATGTTCTTCCTTTGTTGGTGGTTTCTGTAGCTATCTCTGAGTATCCCTTCTCAATTAGACTCAGGATCTGCTCGTTGTAATGCTTTCTTGCTTCTTAGTCTTGATCTAGTTTCTTCTCGATGTTGACCAGGCGTCGGACTGCTTGATTATAATTGTTGGATAGGGTTTCGTCTTCTTTTTTCCACAGGAGTCCCGTTTCATATTGACCGCTTGGCACTTTCTTTGTAGTCTTCTCAAGGGTTTCTAATGCTCTTCTATCACTGTCGTTGGTTGGTGACCGATTCTGGATCCCGAGAGATTCCAACTGAAAGTGTTCTCGGACGATTTCTTCTATGTTTTCTTCGCCAGTGGTCGCTCTGCCATAATGAGTGAAGTTTACTGTGGAAGTTGCTCCTGCTTCACATCCGTGTAACACCCACCCTAAGTTTGTGAGGGAGGCTACAAGATCTGACGGTTTGCCCTTCTTCAGCTTTCTTGTTACTATTAGTCCCCAATTGTCTATCCTGGCCTATCAGCTTGGGTCTTTCGGTGACGTAGAGGAGTTGGCTTTCAATTGCCTTTAGATGCTCGCAGTTTCTCACGGTGTCCTTGTTTATACATTGTTCAGACAGCTTCAGGTCGTCGATGGTTCTTGCTACGATAGTCCTCTTTTCTCTTCTATGCCCCTTTTATTTTGAACTCGATCTTTTGTGAACTATCTTTTCTCAACACCTTCCCGCCGACTGTTTCGATCGTAAGTTTTTCTTGTTTCCCTTCGAATCCGTTTTTCTCAGCGATTGATGCCTCTAAGAGTGTGACCGTTGACCCTTCGTCTAGTAATGTTAACACGCCAACTTGTCCTTTTGGGCCATAGAGGTTCACTGGGATCATCTTCAAGTAGACCTTTCTTCTCCTTTGGCGTTGTGAATTGAGGCGACCTTTTCTTCTGACGTGCTACTGATGTCTTTTTCCCTAGCTTCTCTTTCTATTGGGGCTGGTGGTTTGTCAGAATGTAAGATGGTATGATGCCATCTTTTACACAGCTTGCAGACTGGGGCTTTGTTGTCAGTTGATCC